CCTAGAAAGATTTTACTAAGAACTTTTGATCTATAAATGTATAACCCATGGCCAGCCCCGCTGAGTGGTGGGGCTTCTCAAGCCCCGTCACCAAGCCCCGCCAGGCCAAATCAGTGTTGTGGCCGGGCCCTTGTGGCTCAACTACATGTCATTTCGGACCGGGTGTCACGAGCCCTTGTGGCTCGGTACCTTGGGGCCGTCATGACGCACGTTTGGACTTGGATTTCGTTGAATTTGGTTTAGAAATGAGCATTTTATGATAGAATTTGTGAAGCAAATGTGTCACAGTAATGTTCCAGTGTTTGAAAATGAGAAGTATCAGACTTGGTTTTGCCTATGTGAGCTGCTTGTTACTATTTGATTGTTAAATTGAGAAGCATGATCATTAATTGAATAAGTCTTGTTAGAAAAGAATGCCTAAGGTGTTTGTTAGGATTCATAGAGATTATTTGTCAAATTCCAAGTATTGAAGTGTACAGTGCATGTTAGTCTTGAATGTTACTATCCAGAGAACGAGTTTAAATTGAGCAATTTGAGTTCCAAATGCATGAGAATTATTTGCTAGTATTTGTCATATTATGAATTTCAAGCATGACCATGTGTCCTTTGAGAGTTCACAGTAATATATAGAATTGAAGTATGTTGTACAGTAAATTGCATTCCAAGCATATCATGTTTTAAAAGGGCATAAGTGGCCAACGTGAGCCTAAGTATTATTTTCCAAAACTCATAAGCATGTGGAAAGTCATTACCTTGCTGCATTGAGAATTTGTTGAGAAGTACGTGCATAAGTGTGTATAAGTAGAAGAGTTGCATGAGATATATATGTTATCTATATAAGTGAGGTTTTGGAGGACCCGTTGGGACTATGTCCTTTCGGAGTAAAAGAAAAAGTAACGGACATTGCGATCCGACAGATTTATCATATAACGCGGTGTATTTCGACGTTACGAGGTTGTAGACTGCCCGCCAGGCTTGGAATCCTGGTTAGGGGGTGTGCACACTAAAAGTACGATACCTGATTCCACAGAGAAAGCAATCAAGAAAGAAAGATAAAGAACCAAGAGAGTGGTTCTGTGAGCGAGTTGAGTATGTGGCCGGCTAGATTGCCGAGCCGGATAGGTCCATTCACGATTCGTGAAGACCTACCTCCCCACGAGTTAGAGGTTCCGTAGCTACGGTTGTGGCGGATGCACGAGAGTGCACCGTACGCTAGGGCTTCGCTGCGGTGCAGCGGAGTACCTGCCTCGCACAAGAAGAGAAACGAGAAGTATGAGAAGGTCTGAGCAAGAAAGAAATCGAGTCAAGAGACTCAAGAGAAAGAAAGTGAGTCATTGCGACGCTGAGAAAGAAAGAGCAAGCGAGTCCTTGTGGCTCTAAGAAACATCCACATAAAAGTATTCTATTTACAAATGAGTGTATAAGTATACTTATCCTATAGCATCTTATTACATTCGAGTATAGTATTGCACGAGATTGCATAATGAGAATGTTGCACGAGATTGCATATTGAGAATGTTAGCATTCAAGATTGCATAATGAGAATGTTTGCACGAGATTGCATATCGAGAATGTTTGCACGAGATTGCATATCGAGAATGTTTGCAGTAGATTGCATATTGAGAATGATTACCCGAGATTGTATATTGAGTATGATTGCCTTAGTTGAATATTGATGTTTGATATTTCTAGTTTGCATGATGAGAACTTGATAGCATGAGGATAATTTCTTATTAATTGATAGCACGAAATTGCTTGATAAGATTATGTGTTAGCATGAGATTGTTCTTGAAAAGTTATACAGGATTGAGATTTGCTATGTTAAGTATGCGATAGTATGAGCATGTTGTTAGTTTTGATATTGTTGAAGTATGCCTATTTTATATTTTAGGTCGTGAGCATATAGAGAGCTTTGTGGTTTATATTAAGGTTTTGTCTAAGTGATTGAGATTGCTTAATTTGTCGTTCTTTTGCCGAGCGTCGGGTCGTGTTAGGGCCTAGTCTGGAGTGCACAGACCGAGCTGGTGGATCTTCCCCCCTCCGACCCTCTCGCCCGTCTCTATCAGTCTTTTGGGGCGGATGCTGGTTTTGCGGCTGCGGATTCTGCGATCGGGAGACAGATGGCTCTCTCAGTTCCCGAGTTTGCACGGCTACAGCGCGAGCAATGGTCTCGATCTGCGCGGGGGTGAGAGGTATTATCGACGGAGGCCGGTTTTAAGGCGCCGAGTCGCCTCCCTGACTTTGCGAATTTCGCTGATTTCTCAGGTTTACCTCGGGTACACTGCGGCAGTCGGAGGCCTGGCTTCGATCCTCAACCGTTGTTTTGAACCTCTGCCCTTGCTACTCGTCTTTCTGCTCTATTTCCGACTCCTTTCTCAATGCCCAAAAGAGCGATCGTAACCTTTCGTTACGTCTCCACATACGGCGCCAGTGTTGGTTTTAGGGTTTTTGGGCCCAGGGAGGTCCAACACAACCTTAGTTGGTGGATTCACCTTTCAAAAATAGAATGGAAATGATAGCTCTTGTAAGTGTGTATACTCCTTTGGCCTCAACTTGCCGTCCCCCCCCCCCCCCCCCCCCACATTCTTGAGGATTCCCCTTTATAGTGGACCTCCTCGGATTTATTCAAAACATACATTTAAAGCCATAAATTGGCCTATTAACTCTAAGGGTCGTTGGGCTGCTGTTACTGGGACTCCCAACGGCTTGCTGACGGGGCTCCTTAAATGGCCCCTTTAATGCTCTAACGGCTATCCTTGCGCCGCCTACTCCCTTGCGTCGAGCTCGCACTCGCGCCGAGCTCGGGCTCGGGCCGACCTCTAACCTCTGTCTCTGGGCTGTTTCCCCTTCTGGATTTGGCTTGTTCTCCTCTTGGGCTTCTCTCCCTCTTGGGCCTCTCTTCTTCCTTTTTAGGCCCCGAGCCCACGGGGTTCACACCCCATCAATTATTATTTTAGGTCATTAGTTTAGGTAAATGGAAAGACCATTATACCCTTGTGAAAAAGGAGAAAAAAATCCTGGTGAACAATTGATGGAGAATTCGCCGGAAGGACTATTTTTGCTAAGAAAGTAATAGTCGTGGACCAATTCTACAAGTTTTAAAAGTCATGGATCAAAGTTGTTAATGACACTATAGTCGTGGGACCAAAACTGCAAAAAACTCGTAAAAAGTGTAAACTAATATGGAGTATAATACGTCGATCCAAAATAATCAACTACTCTATAGTCAGGAAAAATCCAATGACAATTTTATAAATATTTCACTTTTTATTACAAATTTGTAAACACAAAAAGTGCATTATGCAAAACTACAAAGTGTATCCAATGATATATAAAAACGTAATCATTTTTAGTATACTTTTACATGACATAGGATGCACTTTTAGAATCACAAATCTTGAGTGTATTTTTACATATTATTAGTGCATTTTGTAATATTAATCAATGTACATCTACACTTATTACAAGAAAGTATGTTTTCACTTAAACCAGTAAATATACAAAAAAAAATTATTAAAATTCTTGAATAAACAATTAATTTTGTAAATACAAATATATTTTTTTCAAATTGTACGATATAAAATATGATGGGGCTATATCACACTATATTTTTTCATATATAAATGTGTTAGGTATAGGGCAATTTCGGAAGTTTCTATTGTACTAATGGATGAGTCATGAATCATGATTAATAGAGTTAGTGATATTCTTTATATTGTAAATAAAATGTAAAGGTCAATGTAAAATTATATAAAAGATGGAGGAGCAGAGTGAAATTATTGAAAGGTGCCGTATTTTAACGGTTGATGGGGTAAAAAATATGCAATGTATTTTATCGTCTGCCATTGGTTTGTGTGAAACTGTGAACAACGGAAAAGAGAGTATGGGAGTTTTCAGTTGTTTGGTGCTTTCATTTAAAACTCGAGAAATGTCAATAAAAGGTTTAGAGTGAGAGTTACGTTGTGTATTTAATGATAAAATTATAGAAATGGTTGGTTTTATGACTTTTGGAGAGTCAATGGCAGGCCAACACTATCGTTAGAATAACGAGAATATTGAAAAAATATATGGAGAGAATATATGAACTTTGTATTAATGAATATTGCTTGTGAATCTTGAGAGTTGTCCCATCTTCTCTATGTGAGAGGTCTATTTATACATATTTTTGGGCCTAGAGCCCTAGGAATAATAATTCTAGACTGCCTCATATTGGGAGTCTTAGTTACATAATAAAATCTAATTCTAATATACTAGAACTAATGAGTCCAATTCTGATTATACTGGGAATAAGATGTCCGATCTTTGACGAACTCTTGGGTTGCTCCATATCATATATCTTTCTTGGGCTTCATTATCCAGTTGCTTTCATGGGCCGGTCCTTGTGGCCCAGGCCTAATATATTATCCATCATCTAGTCCCTCACTTTCTTGAGATTTCGTAAGATCGATGTCTCAGGGAAGTATATCAAATTGAGAGAGGTCTAATAATGATAATGATAATGATAATGATAATGATAATAATAATAATAATAATAATAATAATAATAATAATAATAATAATAATAATAATAATAATAGAAACAACGAAGTGAAAGGAATGAAAATGGTTAATTTGTATGTGCTGTGTTCCTGTGTACACAAGTAAAATAGAATTGTTGCTTTACGCAGCCCCATACTCCTATTTGTAAATAACCAGTGGACACTTACATGTTACATGTATACATACTCTCATATGCGAATGACCAGTGGGCACTACATGTATATATATGTAAAGACAAATTAGAGAGGGTTGTGTCACTTATGTGCGCTTCTATGTGTTTCGGTGTCTGGCAGAGGACACATCTAGGACTGCAATAAACATTAAGTACAACACCTGCTTTGTTCATTGGTCCTTGCGTATATACTTGGTATACATATATACACCCCATCCTGCATGCGAAGTAATTTGAACATATACGATTTTTTGGGCGGTTGAACTCGTATGTATATGTACTATATATATGCCCCTGTCGGCAGTGGAGAGAAAAAAGGTCAGTCGTGCTTATATGTGTATTGACTCACGCAAGGGGTGAGTCTTTGTGAAAGGAGCACATGCAGGCAAGGGAAGGTCGACAATGGAGCTTCATACTCCCCCACCGTAGCTGCATTTTAGGTGATAACTCACCCCCTTACTCCTCTCCCCGACAGACTAGGCAGAATCTTCTCAGTTTTTCCCCTCACCCTTTCCCTCCAAACTATCTGGTTTTGCACTCTCTTTCCATTTTTCTCCTCTTCTGGACACCGTCACGGTCACAACTGCGGGTAAGCCACCTTCTTGGTTTTCGCTTGTTTGTTGTTTCTCTCTTCTTTCTCTTTTTTTTTTTTTGAGAGAATATTGCTATAGGCGACCATTTTGGCAACTTGGGTGGTCGGGGGATGCGGTTGACCGACCGGTTGTTTGGATTGGTCAGTCAGTCAACTTCGTCGCTTTTTTTTTCTTTTTACTTTGGCGGTCGACCGTTGCTTGCGGTTTACAAGTCGCTGGGGGAATTAGCTGGTCGACTGGATTGACTGGTCGATAAGCCTTATTGGCTCTCCTACACCGGCGCTAGGCAACTGGTTTGCTCGTCGGCAGATAGTTGGTGACCGGACGCTTAACTGGTCGGTCATTCCTTTGACTGCTTCTATTTTTATTTTTTTTATCGCTGACCGACCGGAGCTCTGCGACTGGTTCATTCGTCGGTGGTCAGTTGGCCATCAACCGAGGGGAGTTGTTGACCGTCAGCCCCTTGGGCTACTTTTTTTTTTTTTGAGAGAGAGAGAGATTGTGATTCTCTTGCTTTTTTGCCAAGCATCTAGCAGTTAGTCATTTTCAGACTGTTTATTTACTTATTATTACCTCTTCTAGGCTAATACTATGCTTGGGGTACTTTATTCGTCGTGTGGTTTGCAACCTACTCCTGACCCTTCTTTCTACAGATTTTGGACCGTCACAAGGCTTGAGTAAGCGGTGAGAGATTCCTCTGGACCATGTTTACCTGGGTTCGATCGTCTATCTTTAGGTGCTGGCTGATCTTTTTAATGTTGATGTGTCTTCTGGGCAGCTGGATGATGTAGGTCCAAGGGCTGATGATTTTGGTTGCCAGGATGGGGCTGAATAAGGGGATGCTTCCAGCCATGATTCTTCTTTCTAGATGATGTGTAATATTTATCTTCTTTTTTTTTTTTTTTTTTTTCTAAACTGGACCATTTGGGTGTTGTAATGACGATTTCTAATATGCTCATTCTATTTTTTTTTTCCTGTTCATTGTTTGTCCTTGTTTTGTTTTGTGCCTTCGTTCTTAGCATTTCCTGGTTGCGCATTTGATAGTTCTTTATTGATTCTTAAGAACGTCTCCCGTTCTCTGATAGTATGCCCAACCGCTGAATGCTTTCTGAGAACATCTCCCGCTCTCAGCCAGTATGCCCATCAACCAAATATTTCTAAGAACGTATCCAGTTCTCAGTTTTATCCCATACACCAGTATGCTCATCCGCAAAATATTATTGAGAATGTCTCCCGTTTTCAACCAGTATGCCCATCCGCCAAATATTTTTGAGAACATCCCCCGTTCTCAACCAGTATGCACATCCGCCAAATGTTTCTAAGAACGTCTCCCGTTCTCAGCCAGTATGCTCATCCGCCAAATATTTTTGAGAACGTCTCCCATTCTCAGATTTGTGAGTCCATACTCCATTTTAGTTATCCCATACTCCTCTCCGCCAAGATTTTTTGAGAACGTCTCCCGTTCTCAGCTAGTATGCACATCCGCCAAATAATTTTTGAGAACGTCGCAAGTTCTTTTTCAGTGTGCCCACCCGCCATATATTTTTTAGAACATCTCCCGTTTTCTGTTAGTTTTCCACTATGTCAATGGCTTTTAAGAACGTCGCCTGTTCTCTGCCAGTATGCCCAACCGCCGATTTCTTTTTGAGAACGTCTCCCGTTCTTTGTCAGTATGCCCAACTGCCGAACGATTTTTGAGAACGTCTCCCATTCTCTGTCAGTATGCCACTCCGCCAATGGATTTCCTGAGAATGTCTCCCGTTCTCAGCCAGTATGCCCATCCGCCAAGTATTATCTGAGAACGTCACCCGTTCTCTGTCAGTATGCCACTCCGCCAATGGCTTTCCTGAGAACGTCTCCCGTTCTCAGCCAGTATGCCCATCCGCCAAATTTATCTGAGAACGTCTCCCGTTCTCAGCCAGTATGCCCAACCACCGAATGATTTTTGAGAACGTCGCCTGTTCTCTGCCAGTATGCCACTCCGCCAATGGCTTTTCTGAGAACGTCTCCCGTTCTCAGCTAGTATGCTCATCCACCAAATATTATTTGAGAACGTCTCTCGTTCTCAGATTTATGACATCCCATACTCCTTTTAACCACTTCTTGTCCGATCCTGCTTTATACCCTGATGACTCCTAGACTCTACACTAGACTTTATACTGACTAGACTTCTCTCCTATAACCCCTAGGCCCTACACTAGACCCCTTACCCCTGACACCCTGTAATCTATTAGACTTTCCTTCACCTGATATTGTCAGGTTCATCCTTCTGACGGTTATCTTTGCTTGTTTTACCATAATTTGGTTACTGCTTCGTGATCTGGTTGTGAACTATCGATCGAGGGGTGAGAAGACGAGTCGATTACTGAGAGGTGGGAAGTTCCATCGGCCACGATGTGGTGGGGAGATGGGTTGACCATTGAGCGGTGGGAGGGTCTGTCGACCACTGAGTATTGGGATGACCAACCCAGATGACTAGTCCGCCTAGATGATCAGTCGGGGTGACCAGTTTGGGTAACTAGTCAGGGCAACCAATCCACCTCTGCAGTTTGTCCATCTTAACTGCCAAAATTTTGGGGACATTCGAAGAGGTAACTAAGCGTGATACCCTTTTAAATCGAACTGATGGTTTTATTACGATACTATAATATAATAGTCTATTGTGCATAGTAACTAACTGCACGAGATTATTTTCCCGAAAATTGACAGAGTTTCTTGAGCTACCTTGAATGCGTCTTCTCGGTTTGTTCCCTGATGGACGGGGCGGTCGAACCTCATGCACTGGTTTGGGTCCGAAGGCGGGGACTGCTCTATGTCGAGGGGGGTGGCCCTCGGTCGATGTTGGATCTATATTCCCATTTGGACGGTCGGTTCGCTGGACGCGCTCTTGCCTCATCGCGGTGGCATTTTGCCTCTCGCCTTCATTTTTGTCGCAAAGCCTCTTCTGTTTCTGCGTATTTGTTGGCCCGCTGGATGGCTTGTGTGTACGTTTCTGGGGTCTCCCTTCGTAGGCTGGTGAACAGATCACCTGATCTCAGGGCCTCCACGAACAAAGTGAGAGTCGTTCGGTCGTTCAAGTCTTCTACTGTTTGTACCTCTTTCTGCCATCTTTTTAAGAATTCCTTTAGTGTCTCAGTTTCTCCTTGTTGAATGGTGGTCAAATCCATGAAGTGCTTCTTTGTTTTCATGCTTCCCGCAAAGTAGGTTAGGAATTGTTCGGCCATGATTTCGAAGCGGTCGATGGACCGCGGTGGTTGGGATAGGAACCATCGTTGCGCTAACCCTCCTAGGGTTGAGAAGAAGGCGCGACAGTACATGGGATCTTCCTCCCCTATTACCATCATCTTTGCTTGGAAGCTTACCAGGTGATCACTGGGGTCCTCCATTCCATCGTAAGTAGGCATCGTCGGGCATTTGAAGTCTCTTGGTGCGCGATATTTTTGGATCCTCATAGAGAAAGGACTGGCCGATAACAGGGATGGAGCGGTTGACCGGTCTCTTCCACCTTCAACCTTCCTTTGGAGGTCTCTTACTTCCTTGGCAAGTTCCGCCATCTCTTGATCTCGATTCCCCTGGCTAAGTTCTGGAGTCTTTCCACTGCCCTCCATCATGTCTTGCAGAATTCTTTCCCTATCGCGATCTCCTACCCTCGTCCTTTCTGTGTGAGGACGCGTGGCATGGGTGGCCTCGACTCGTCGTTGGGGGTTGTGTCTGGCTCTTTGCTGCGGACTTTCTGTTGGTCCCAAAAGAGGTAAGGTGAAAGTCTAGAGGGGGGGGGGGGGGGGGGTGAATAGACTTTCAAACTTTTTCGCACAGCACAACAATTGCTAAGCCAGAGATAAACCAAAACTCTTAACTAGATTGTTAGAGTATGGTGCACAGCGGAATTAAATAAAGATAAAGTGTGTGTGAGATTGGGCGAGCAGTATATCTCATGCAGAGCAATTATGTAAAGAGCAGTAAGTAAAGAAAGCAGTAAAGAACACAAGACAATTATAGTGGTTCGCGAGGTGGTGTAATCCTCCTACTCCACTTGCTCTTATCTCCAAGAGCAATTCACTATATACACCACTTCTTGGTTCCAAGATACAATGAATTTCCGTGATCTAGTGCTTTGATCACAAAGCCCGCACTAATCACGCCCAGTGACACCACACTGCTGCTTCGGGTTTCACGTCGCCGCGCTACTATCCCAGGATTTCACGACTCCGCGTTACTTTCCCCCCGTCTTCCACACTCTGGTATAAACGTATCCCGTGATCTAGTGCTTTGATCACAAAGCCCGCACTAATCACGCCCAGTGCCTCCGACACTGCTGCTTCGGATCTCACAGCTCCGTGTGACAATCCAGGATTTCACAGCTCTGTGCTAATTTCCTCCCTTCTCTTGTTTTGCTCCAAAACAAGTGTTATCTTGCTTCCAACTTCTGAGACTCTGTAGTTGATCTTCAATGATGCGCAGGTCTCTTTGATGAAGATTAACACTCTTGAAAGATTTCTCTTGAACGCTCTGAGTGTTTTCTCCCTTTGGATGTATCAAGTAAAGCACTTGATTTATATGCCCTGTTTAGCTCTGCTTTTTGAACTCTCAGAATATTTCTCTTTGAAGCTCTCTGAGTTCTTTTTCTCACACTTGAAGATTTCTTTTGGTATGCTCTGTACCAAATGAGATTTTAGCTCTTAGAATTTTTAGCTCTTTGCTCTTTGCTCTTTGAGTTCGTATATCTTGCTCTGCTTCTTCAAGTCTTCACATCTTCATCATTTTATAGCTGGTAATGAGGATCTGCCCGTTGGAAAGAGACGATCTCATTTTTGAATTCTGTATCTTTTTTGTCAGAGATCTTATCTTATCTTCTGGCAAAGTGTCAGAAAGGATAAGCTAGCCGTTTGAGAGAGCTTCAACTCCATGTAAATGAGCTCCCAAACTTCATCTGATATTCCTCTGGTTTTACGTTGAGTGGAAATATCTGGGTGTAGAACGGCTTCTCTGATTAGCTCTGAAGTGGTCCTTGTATCTTTGGGATTTAAAAATATTCTTCAATTTAATCTCATACTAGTTAGACTAGTATTTTTCCTTGTGAGAAATTATTCACTGTAAGTTCATCTTCATCTTCTTCATTCTCACGTCTGGGTGTTCTCAGACTTCAAACTGGCTTTGAACTTCCTCCCAATTTGAATTTCTCCTTTGTAATTGACACCCAATTTCAATTGACTTGTAATTGGCACCCAATTTGAATTTCTCCATTGTAATTAGCTGCAATTTACTTTGACTTGCAATTGGCTCCCAAACTTCTCCTGGTGCTTCAATTACTTCCAATTTTGAATTATGTTGACCTTGACTTCCAGACTTCTCCTGGTATTGAATTTCATCTCAATTCAATTGCTCCTCAATGTCTTCTTTTAATTGGTCTCCATTTTGAAACCATACTACAATCTCAATTGGCTCCCAATTTCAATTTTACATTGGCTCCCAACTTGAATTGATTCCATGTGAAACTTGCTCCCAATTTCAATCAATTTCAATTTCTCTGAAACTAGCTCCCAATTTCAATTTCTCTGAACTAGCTCCCAATTTTAATTCCTATGAAATCGGCTCCCAATTCCTTTGAATTGGATCCCAAGTGCAATTGCCATCCAGAGAAACTAGCTCCCAATTTCAATTTCTCTGAACTAGCTCCTAATTTCAATTCCTATGAAATCGGCTCCCAATTCCCAATTCCTTTGAATTGGCTCCCAAGTGCAATTGCTTCTCAATTGCCACCAAGTGAAATCCCAAGTGCAATTGCCACCCAGAGAAACTAGCTCCTAATTTCAATTTCTCTGAACTAGCTCCCAATTTCAATTCCTATGAAATCGGCTCCCAATTCTCAATTCCTTTGAATTGGCTCCCAAGTGCAATTGCTTCTCAATTGCCACCAAGTGAAATCCCAAGTGCAATTGCCACCCAGAGAAACTAGCTCCTAATTTCAATTTCTCTGAA